AAAAAAAAAAAAAAAAAGCTGAATTCGAAAGCAAAAACAGATTGGATCTAAGTCCACCGCTTGGATCGAGTATAAACAAAAAGTTATCTATTCCAGCCAAATCAACTCTTCTTACTATACACTTGAGGATATTTGGCTGGATGTTCTATAATTTTTACTTACAAAACATGAATTCGAAAGCAAAAACAGATTGGATCGAGTATAAACAGAACATACCTGCAAGGTCTGATGTACTCACAAAATGTGTTAGTCATCTTGAACTTTACAGCTTTTCAACAGTGGAATCCTATCTTTGGATGAAGAGCCCAAGCTTGAACAAAACTCGTCTTTCACCTTCAACTCTTCTTCTTTTATTTTCCCCCACATTATTGAGTAAAATCCACTTGCTATTATTGTTGCTCCAATAATACTGCCACACCAAACAAACAAAGGGATGAAAGGTTGATATTGTAATGGTCTAAGTCCACCGCTAGCAGATATTATCTTTTTTAAGTTTTTTCTTTTGGGTTTTCCTTTCAAGGTTTTTAAAACGTGTCTGCTAGGGAGGTTACCACACGAATGTTTTGTTCCCCTCTCTGATCAATATGGGGTCTCACAATCCGCCCCCTTTCAAACCTAGCGTCATCGCTGGCACACATTTCCCTCTCTAATCAATATGGGATCTCATGACACGTGTTCAATGAACCCTTGCACATGTCATTTATGCTTTATATCATATGATGATGAGATTATGATATATGATAACGTGACTATGTTATATGATGATCGTATATGATATTATACGATGATGTATGATAATATGACGATGTAAGATGTATGATGATGAGATGACATGATATGACGTTATTCCATATTAAGATAATGCAAATGTATTAAATGTCATGATGCATTATGACGATAATTTTTCTAAGACACAACCCTAGTTAAATGTTAACGATGATGAACCTATGAACACCAATGCATGCATGTTAGTTACAATGTATAAGGACATTAATTTTTATTTCTTCCTCTTAGGCTAATGGATCTTTTCGGATGGAAGATCTCGTCGAAGAATAATATTCCTTCTAGTTATCATTGATTTACTAGAATAATAAAATGTCAAAATGAGCAAACTCAGCTGCAGCGGACACGTATTCTCAACCAAGAGATCAGATATTCGAAAACTCCTAACTCCAAAGGTTGTCAAACTAAACAAAAAATAACAATATTTCAACTAGTATGAAACCTTTCAATGAAATCAAACGATAAATCACGGGCTCAAAGTTGACGATATCATACCCTTACAAACATGTATATATACCGAATTCATAAATGTTCGGGTATTTTTTTAATTGTCCTAAATGTTTAAAAAGTGACTGAAAATAATAATGCATAAACCAGAGAGAGAGAGAGAGAGAGAGAGAGAGAGATATGCACCTTCCAAGATAGAGATCATCCCCAAGGAAAATGACACCAGTAGCAGCCGCAATGGCAATTGAGAGAGGCCTGAAACTCGAAACATAAACAGGCCCTTTGACATGGACACCCCATGTGTGGATGGCAGAGACGAAGGATTGACCCACACATCCCTAGATGAACACGACAACAACAATAACAAAAACTCGACATTTAAAGCAATCACAACCTCTTCTATCTCCAGCTCAACCCAAATTCAAATCCTTTCCCTTCTTACCGAGTTCAAAACAGCGACCAATTCAAGACTGTTTTTTAGCTTCCATGCACCCAAGTTTCCTTCTGCTAATAGGCATATGGGTGCAGCTATTATGACCTCGAAAACATAGTACAAGCACACCACTGCTAGTTCATCTGGATACATGTTCACCATTTGGGTCTGTAAATAACTCTTTTGTCAGTATAATTATCCATTTTGACTCTCACTTCAAAAGCTAACTCAAAAGGTGAGGTTCCTACCCTTTTACAACTAATAAACTCAATCTCTAGTGGACTATTGGGCGATATCATAGTCTTGGTGTGGAACCAATTGTCTTTGTGAACCCATAAACTATCTTAAGATGTACAGATTTCACATATAATTACTAAGAAACCAAAATTCAACTCTTTTACAGCCAAACACAATAATACCAACAAAATCTTGATATGTCAACTATTAGTTAAGCTCAGAAGAATTAAGAAGCCATTCAATCATATATGATATTAGTAAATGTTTTGCACAAAAGGAATAAAGGGAGGTTGCATAAATTTGAAAGGAAAATTACCAGAATAATGTACCAGAAAGAGTTGAGAAGGTACTGAGCAAAAAAGCAGAGGCCACCCATGATCCAATTGGGTTGGGAAGAGGCCAAAGGATGTGAAAGATTCAACCTTGTTGGCGCAGCAAATGGGTTTGATAGAATGACTGGACCTTTATAAAGAACCACTACAAGTGCACCTGCTATAGACACTGCCGAGCCAACGATTTTCGCCGTGCTGCTTGAGCTTTTCAAAGCTAGCTTCTCCATCCTAACCAAAGAACATGATGACACCAAATTTAGCATATATTTCATACTTTTTATGTGAAATCCCACCTGGGTTGGATTGAATTAGAGAATGAAACACCTTTTATAAGGGTGTGGAAACCTCTCCTGCATTTTAAAGCGTTGAGGGGAAGTCCGAAAGAGAAACTCCAAAGAGGATAATATCGGCTAATGGTGGGCTTGGACCGTTACAGTGGTATCAGAGCCCGACAGCGAGGAGAGCCTTCCCAGAAGGGGGTAGACACGAGGCAGTGTGCCAGCAAGGACGCTAGACCTCAAAGGAGATGAATTTGGTGGGGGTCCCACATCAATTAGAGAAAGGAACGAGATTGAGACGGAACACCCAAGGATGCCAAGGGTGTGAAAGGTCCGAAAGAGAAAGCTAAAAAGAACAATATCTGCTAGCGGTGGGCTTGAACCGTTATATTTTATGGGTTGACATTAAACTCATTTTCAAGTAATTGCACTATATGATTAAAAAAAAAATCAAGATGCACTCATCTCTATTCTTAAGACTTTCATTCTATTCTTATTCCATTCTTCACTTAATTTAGAAGAAAACTTAGCTGCTACATGAACTACAGCCATTTATGCAGCCTAGCTCAAACATATGGGCAAACCACCACAGTGCGCCACTTGTCATCACATTTTTTTCCTTTTTCTTTTCATTTTTCATTTAAGATATAATCGTATAGGATTATAGTCTAAAATCTCATAGATCTCTCCATGAACTTAACATGAATAAAATCTTTTAACAATCTCATTTTTTTTTTCCATTCTAATATATATATTTCTTTTTATTTCATTCTCTAATCCATGCAATACTATTTACTCTCAACTGATCCATTAAAATAATTATCTTTGGTTGCNATTTTTTTTTTTTTTTTTTTTTTTTTTTTTTTTTTTTTTTTTTTTTTTTTTTTTTTTTTTTTTTTTTTTTTTTGGTATTACATGAAATATATATATATATATATAAAAGTAGAAATTTAGATATAATATGTTGTAATAATTTTCCGTTACTTATCTCTATAGATCATTTGTAACCGTCCAAGCCCACCGTTAGTAGATATTATCTATTTTGGCCTGTTACGTATCACCGTACCTTATAGTTTTAAAACACATCTGTTAGGGAGAGTTTTCCACACCCTTATAAGGAATATTTCGTTCCGCTCTCTAATCGATGTGGGATCTAACAATAAAAATTTGGACCATTTCTCGATTTGTGCACGTGTCATCCCCTTGCGCATGGGTCATGCCAATCTTCTTTGTATTGTTTCAATTTTGTTGTAACGTTAAATATGTCCGAGTGGTTAAGTAGATAGACTTAAAATCTGTTGGGCTTTGCTTGCGTATGTTTGAATTTTGTTGTTGACGACTTTTTAGCTTTATTGTGAGATCTAGGGAACGAATCATTCCTTATATAATGGTGTCACAATATGTTTGAGTGGTTAAGGACACATACTTGAAATTTGTTGCAGTTGGGCTTTGCCCGCAGGTTCGAGACCAATTGTTGAATCATGACTTTTAGCTTTATTGTGAGATACCACATCGGTTGGATAGGGAACAAATCATCACTTATACAATGGTGTCAATATGTCTAAGTGGTTAAGGAGATAGACTAGAAATCTAATGGTCTTTGCCTGCGCAAGTTCAAATCCTGTTGTTGAAGACTTTTTACTTTATCTTTATTTTGGGATCAGTTGGATAGGAACAGATCATTTCTTATATATGGGTGCCAATATGTCCGAGTGGTTGTTGGAAGACTCTTTTTGCTTTAGCTTAATTGTGAAATCGCACATCAGTTGGATAGAGAACGGATCATTTCCTAAATATGGGTGTCAATATGTCCGAGTGGTTAAGGAGATAGACTTGAAATCTATTGGGCTTTGCTTGCGCAGGTTCGAATCCTGCTATTGACGACCTTTTAATTTTATTGCGAGATTGCCTTTGCAGGTATGAGTACTCTTTTTGCTTTAGCTTTATTGTGAAATTCCACATTAGTTGGACAAAGAACGAATCATTTCTTATATATGGGAGTCAATATGTCCGAGTAGTTAAGGAGATAGACTCGAAATCTGTTGGGCTTTGCCTGCGCAAGTTCAAATCTTGTTGTTGACAACTTTTTTACCTTTTGCTTTAGGTCTATCCCACATCAGTTGGATAAGGAACGGATCATTTCTAATATATGGGTGTTAATATGTCCGAGTGGTTAAAGAGATAGATTTGAAATCTATTGGGCTTTGTAGGTTTGAATCTTGATATTGACAACATTTTAATTTTATTGTGAGATTGAATTTGCAGGTTCGAAACTCTTTTTGCTTTAGCTTAATTGTGAAATCCCACATCAGTTGGATAGAGAACGAATCATTTCTTAAATATGAGTGTCAATATGTCCGAGTGGTTAAGGAGATAGACTTGAAATTTATTGGGCTTTGCCTGTGCACAAGTTTGAATCCTACTATTTACAACTTTTTAATTTTATCGTGAGATTGACTTTACAGGTTCGAAGACTCTTTTTGTTTTAGCTTTATTGTGAAATCCCACATCAGTTGGATAGAGAACAAATCATTTCTTATATATGGGTGTCAATATGTCTGAGTGGTTAAGGAGACAGACTTGAAATTTGTTGGGCTTTGCCTCAAATCTTGCTGTTGATGACCTTTTACCTTTTGCTATAGGTCTATTGTGAGATCCCACATCAGTTGGATAAGGAACGGATCATTTCTAATATATGGGTGTTAATATGTCCGAGTGGTTAAAGAGATATATTTGAAATCTATTGGGCACATCAATTTGACAGAAAACGGATCATTTCTTAAATATGGGTGTCAATATGTCCGAGTGGTTAAGGAGATAGACTTGAAATCTATTGGGCTTTGCTTGCGCAGGTTCAAATCTTGCTATTGACGACCTTTTTAATTTTATTGTGAGATTGCCTTTGCAGGTATGATGACTCTTTTTGCTTTAGCTTTATTGTGAAATCCCACATCAGTTGGATAGAGAATGAATCAGTTCTTATATATGGGTGTCAATATGTCCGAGTGGTTAAGGAGACAGACTCGAAATCTGTTGGGCTTTGCCTGCGCAAGTTCAAATCTTGCTGTTGACGATTTTTTACCTTTTGCTTTAGGTCTATTGTGAGATCCCACATCAGTTGGATAAGGAACGGATCATTTCTAATATATTTGTGTCAATATGTCTAGGCTTTGCTTGCGTAGGTTCGAATCTTGAGATTGACAACATTTTAATTTTATTGAGAGATTGCCTTTGCAGGTTCGAAGACTCTTTTTGCTTTAACTTAATTGTGAAATCCCACATCAGTTGGACAGAGAACGGATCATTTCTTAAATATGGGTGTCAATATGTCCGAGTGGTTAAGGAGACAGACTCGAAATCTGTTGGGCTTTGCCTGCGCAAGTTCGAATCTTGCTGTTGACGACTTTTTACCTTTTGCTTTAGGTCCATTGTGAAATCCTACATCATTTGGATAAGGAAGAAATCATTTCTAATATATGAGTGTTGTTTGAGTGGTTAAAGAGATAGATTTGAAATCCATTAGGCTTTGCTGGCATAGGTTTGAATCTTGATAATGACAACATTTTAATTTTATTGTGAGATTGCCTTTGCAGGTTCGAAGACTCTTTTTGCTTTAGCTTAATTGTGAAATCCCACATCAGTTGGACAGAGAACGGATCATTTCTAAAATATGGGTGTCAATATGTCCGAGTGGTTAAGGAGATAGACTTGAAATCTATTGGGCTTTGCTTGCGCAGGTTCAAATCCTGCTATTGACGACCTTTTTAATTTTATTGTGAGATTGCCTTTGCAGGTATGATGACTCTTTTGGATTTAGCTTTATTGTGAAATCCCACATCAGTTGGATAGAGAATGAATCATTTCTTATATATGGGTGTCAATATGTCCGAGTGGTTAAGGAGACAGACTTGAAATCTGTTGGGCTTTGCCTGCGCAAGTTCAAATCTTGCTGTTGACGATTTTTTACCTTTTGCTTTAGGTCTATTGTGAGATCCCACATCAGTTGGATAAGGAACGGATCATTTCTAATATATTTGTGTCAATATGTCTAGGCTTTGCTTGCGTAGGTTCGAATCTTGAGATTGACAACATTTTAATTTTATTGTGAGATTGCCTTTGCAGGTATGATGACTCTTTTGGATTTAGCTTTATTGTGAAATCCCACATCAGTTGGATAAGGAACGGATCATTTCTAATATATTTGTGTCAATATGTCTAGGCTTTGCTTGCGTAGGTTCGAATCTTGAGATTGACAACATTTTAATTTTATTGTGAGATTGCCTTTGCAGGTTCGAAGACTCTTTTTGCTTTAGCTTAATTTCATCCCACATCAGTTGGACAGAGAACAAATCATTTCTTAAATATTGGTGTCAATATATCCGAGTGGTTAAGGAGATAGACTTGAAATCTATTAGGCTTTACTTCTTTAGGTTCAAATCCTGCTTTGCAGGTTTGAAGACTCTTTTTACTTTAGCTTTATTGTGAAATCCCACATCAGTTGGACAGAGAACAAATCATTTTTTATATATGGGTGTCAATATGTTTGAGTGGTTAAGAAGATAGACTCAAAATTTGTTTGGCTTTACTTGTGCAGGTTCGAATCCTGTTGTTGACGACTTTTTAACTTTATTGTGAGATTATTGCCAATTTCTTATTTATGGGTCAAATAAATACTAATTCAGAACTATTTTTGAGATTTAATAAAAGTAGGGATATTAATTTACATATTTAAAAACTAAAACACAATAAAGAAATTTTTATTCTACTCTTATTCTTACACAATTAACTTATGATTATTTAGTAAAAATTTATATAATTTTATTAAATTTATTTTAATAATAAAAAATTAATTAATGTACAAGAAATTTCAAGGAATTATTGAAACTTAACTTATCGGTAAGAAAAAAAGAGGGGAAGAAAAAGATACCCGAAGAGAACGGCCAAGATGAAAGTGAGAGCAGGAATTAGGTTGCTAATGGCGGAAGCAAGCGTCGGTGAACTGTACTCCAATCCTTTATAGGAAAACAGCTGACATCCAACTCTTCAATCACAAACAAACAATTTCAATCGCAAACCGATTAACACACCACAATCCATAAAAATAAACCTCAAATCGTACCCCATGGCGGAGAGGCAGATCAGTCTCAGGAAGAACGAGGATTTATTGGACGGAAAAACGCCGGATCTGAAAACTCGAATCAACAAAATGAATACAGTTAGGGAAAAATGAGCGGAGAAAAAAGCAAAAGATTAGAGAGAATTGGAAGAATCGGAGACCTGCGGAAGATGAAGGCGAAAGGAAGAAGAACGAGAGCGGCGGCGAGGCAAGTGTAGAAGGTGAAGACATAGAAGCTAATTTGATGGCCGCTAATGGCTTTGTAGACGGTGTTGGAGCCGACGGTAGCGCACTCGCCGGCGATCATTCCGATCAATGGAGCGAATTCCTTGTACAGAAAACTGCGCTCCATTGATTTTTCTGAATCTTGATTCTCTCTGTGGATAGGAGAGCGCTGAAAGTAGAGTTTCTCCAAATTTGTTGGGTAATTTATTTGAGTCTGAAGGAGAAAGAGAAGGGTTAGTTTGGGAATTTGTGTTTTGATACTTGCGTAATGATTTGTCTTTTTAGTACATTTTGAGTCATGCTTGGACACTTTTTTTTCTTTTTTGGATTTTTTTTTTTAAAGAAAACTCCCATTTCTCAATAATTTCTAAGGTGTGTGGATTAAGGTGGAATGGTGTTTCGGTACGGCTCGAATACACTCTATGGTCGATCAAAAGTCCTATGCCACTTTCACTTTTTCATTTCAATTTGCCTTTTTTGTCTCAATGGATTACGCGAATTTTCGATTGAAATGTTAGCTCAAGGTTTTGGATAGCCCACCTGGTGGGGACAACTATATCTACTAGAAGCCCATATAGTTGTTCGGCTGTGTACTTCCCGTGGCTCAAAATTTTGGACCCAACCAAACTAAAGATAAGCAAAGCTCTAACTTAACTTAGCCCAAACCGAACAAAAATCTAACTCAACCCAATACTTACGATCTGAGTACAATTCGAGTAGTTATGGTCTCAATTCTTCTCGACTTTGTGTTTGCTCTTGTTGTCGAGAACTATGGTTTTTATGCATATTTGCTAACGTGCAAGATGAAGTTAGAAAATACATATTAATAAAATGAATATTATATTGTTAAACATAGATTAAAAGAAGTTCCAACAATCATGACTCTAAGACTGAGAAATAAGCTTAAACATATTAAATTAACAAAATTTACACAATACATTGCAACGCAGAAGAATGCATCTCTGTGTGCAAGATAATTAGTGTTCGCCCCCTAAAATATGAACTAGTTTTCACTTTAAGTCTCTTAAAAGTTGTAAAACTCAACAATCTTGCTTCTAAAATTTCATAAAGATTGCCAATAATCTCCGTGAATAGCTAACGACTAGACTCGATTCGATCACGTAAATTAGAACTTCCTAAGCATGTGTAAAAAAGGTAGGCAATAGGAACTCATTGAAGAAATCAGTACCTCCTCTTTCTTCTCAAATTAGGCATGGCACTAAGAGCCCCTCCAAATGACCGGACAGAATGATCCTTGGGTTTCTCTTGCACGCCCTCACCTACCTCGGAAGAGTTCGGATAACTTACAGGATTTGGGTCGCCCACATCGAGTAGAGATTCTCCACGTGGATATGTATCTTCCTCAAGCTGGTCTCCGCCTATGTCTTTTTCAGGATGGAAGGTTGATTGGCCAGGATCATCTTCAGAGCCATCTTTGAGGGCCTCTGATACGGTTGCTTGGTCAAGATGTGCAACCGGGTCAACACATTCGTTATCGTCATCTAAGCAGAACCCACCCCCCAGTGTGAGGTAGTCTTCACTGTTGCTAGCCTCCAAGGCAGGGTCTTTATTCCGGCACATTGCTTCCTGGCTCATTTCATCTTCTGTTGGACAGAAACCACCTCCAGTTCCAAGATAATCCCTTAGAGGCGATCTCTTCGGTATTTCGTAATCACATTCTGTATTTTCCGAATGGATCATTACAGTTTCAGGACCTGTGTACCGACCCTGGACCACATTGTCGTCGTTGGCTTCATCATTGGATAATCTATACCCACTGTAATCTGATGGTTGATCTTGATCTGGATCTGCATCGTCCATTTTATAACTTGCAGATTTTCGGACCCGTGATGACTGTATCAATAAACACAAATCAGTGGAAAACTAAGCCATCGTAGAAAAAGTATCTACTAGAAATAAGAAACCATTCATTCAGAACGTCACATATATCAGTCTCAGATGTTGTAAGGTCTCAAAACAAGAAAAAGATGAGCAATTGTGCACAAAATAGAGATAAGGAATCAGTAACATTCAAACTTACTTTTCTCCTTTCTTGAGGCTCCTGCACGTTCTCCAAATCTAATTTTTTATCATCGGATTCACTTTCATCATCACTGGAGCTGGTTTCGACGAATTCGGTAATAGGACTCTTACCTTTCGATGCCAACCGACCTCTCCCCCTCCCTTTCCCTCCTCCTCTACCTCTACCTCTACCTCTCTCAGAATGTGATCCCTCATTTCTACTTCGCTTTCCTTTTTCCTTCATTGTTAGCTTTCGATCCTTGGCAGGTTGCGATTGCTCTCTGTCTAGTTGCCTTTTCCTGGAAGGTTTTCGGAGTCTATTATCTACGTTATCTTCATTCGAGCAAGCACCTTGTATTTCTGATGAACACTTCTCAGACATGTTCTTCTGAGTCTCACCAGAAAGATTTATTTGATTATTTACGGAGACATTCGGCACGGTTTCATCCATCAACGAGGCAGACTTGCTCCCAGTAATACTTTTAACAGCTTTCTTTATTCTCTTACTGCGGATTTTAGCAAATCTTTCATTGAAAGTGTAAAATGCCTCCAATCGAAGTTGAGTCTACACAAAAAACAATAAACATGAAAATGTGAGCATATTCAATTTCTTCTTTAATCATTTTGTGTACTACAGGAAAAGGACACAGCACGGACAAAAACACACAAAATAGAACGCCCATTCATATTTGTAAACTCAATGATTTTGAAGGATATGCTAAAGATGGCTTCCACATAAGAACCCCACCCTCCCTCCATTTTCCTTCAGTTGATGGTTCAACAAAAACATTTGCGGTCCTAAGAGACACCAGTGGAAGTAACTAACCTCATGTTTGCCATACTCTTTTAAGACAGGCAAAAGCAACTCATCTGCCTTTGAGTTCTCCCACCCAAACTTTTCCAAGCATAATCTGCAGCATACAGAGCAAGTTGAATTGTAAATATATATAATATGTACGGTGGATATTCAACTTTCTAAACATAAAGAAGTAGGCTCTACTTCACCAATGTAAAGAAGTGCAGGAAACATCATGTATAATAAAGCTCAACTCCGTCAGTGAGCCCAAAAATATTGATGGGATTGTTTGCTATATTTTTCAAGAGATAAACAACCAACGAATAGAGGAAGCTCTCCACTAGAATAAAGATACCAGAAGAAACAACTATGCCAGATTTAGGGATAATAACAACGAAGAAGAAGAAGCTCCACCTACTTGAATAAGAAATTGACTGTGAATATGCGATATCGTTCCAATTCATACGATAGGTTAAACTCAAAAAGTAATGATGTTGGTTACATAACTAGAAACTTTTAAGAGAGACAGGTCTCCGCGTAAAGATTGCTGCTAAAACTGAAAATATATGAACCATGGTAACTAAGTCAAACAGATAATATTTATCAATATTAGAAGCATAATGTCTCACCTGCGAAGGACAAAATGGTCTGGCTTCCCCCAGGAGAAAGGTTCTGCTGACTTGTCCACTTGTGGGGAGATGTACGCAGAAATGACTGCTTCACTAGGAAATTCAGAAGGGATATGCCAGTTCTTGCTAACATTTCTCTAAATATGGGCATGAAATAATCATAAGTAGGTGAGAAAAACTTGGGAATAAAATAATCTTCCTTCACCTGGTCAAGAAAAATACTGTGAATCAGAAAGTAAAGAGTAAGAGAGAAATATCTCACGTGCTTAACCATGAAATTCTGTTTAACATCTATGTTCTCCTTCAGATCTTTATCAATGTTCTCTTCAGATGCAGAACCATCCCTTACGCTGCTATTTGAGCAAGTTGCGTCATTCTCACTTGCTTTTTGCCCTCTTTTACGTGCACTTAACCCTGTTTTTGCACCAAGCGTCCCTAAAATGCTTGGATCTGGTGATTCAATCCATTCTTTAAATTTATGGAGTCCATCTTCCTCCGAAAATGCATTCATAACCTCAACAGCATTAACAATGCCAATCCCACTGCTCAAAAAATTGAAATCTATCATGACAGAGAAATTCTGCATCCTTGCAATGGATAAATTCTTATGAATAAGGCAGGATCATGCATGTGTAAGTTACCTAATGCCTTCTGTATAATCACTTCCAAGCAGAAGTGCCATGCGAATTAACTTGTTTCGGTCCAGACCAAGCTCATTTTCAATGTCCTGAAAGTCAGAAAAAGTACAATGGGCAGATTGTTAAGCAACAAGCTATAGGAAAATTTCAGAAGTTTTCAAGAACAATTCTTCTAAAAGAAAGGTTAAGAAAAAGAAAGCCATCAACATTTCCAAAGATGACAGTTTTTTCTTAAAAAAAAGGATCATAAAATCATATAGCTTATATAACATGGAGGAGTTAAAATCCTCAGAAATCTGAAAGTAAATCATAGAGTACATGGATACAAAAGAAACCCCCCCCCCCCCCC